TTACTTGATTGTTTTCTGCTTCCAGTTCCAAAGCAAAATGGGATTTTGTTTTTGTTTTTGTTTTTTTGAGTTGGAGTCTCACTCTGTCGCCCAGACTGGAGTACAGTGGCACGCTCCTGGCCATTGCAGCCTTGACCTGCTGGGCTCTGGCGGTCCTTCCGTCTCAGCCTTCCAAGTAGCCGGAACTACAGGTGTATGCTACCGTACCTGGCTAATTTTTTATTTATTGGAGTTGCCCAGGCGGTTCCCAAACCCGCAGGCTCAGGCAATCCACTCGCCTCGGCCTCCCAAGGTGCTGGGATTACAGGCTGAGCCATCGAGCCCAGCCGAAAAGGGATTGTTTTAAGAATTCAAATGTAGCCAGGCTCAGTGACTCAGCCTGTAATCCCGTGCTTTGGGAGGCTGAGGTGAGTGGATTGCCTGAGCCCACAGGTTCGAAACCTGCCTGAGCAACTTGGCGAGACCTCATCTCTAAAATAATCAAAAACTAGCCAAACATGGTAGTGCACGCCTGTAGGTCCAGCTACTTGCAAGGCTGAGGCTGAGGCGGAAGGATCGCTGGAGCCCAGCAGGTCAAGGCTGCAGTGACTGGGAGCGGCCACTGCCCTCCAGTCTGGGCGACAGAATGAGACTCCAACTCAAGAAAAAAAAAAGAATTAAAATGTGACTGGACATAGTGGCTCATGCCTGTAATCCCAGCACTTTGGGATGCTAAGGTGGGAGGACTGCTTAAGCTCAGGAATTCGAGACCAGTCTGGGTAACAACAAGACCTTGTCTTTTAAAAAAAAAAAAATCACAAAAATTAACCAGATATAGTGGCATGTGCCTGTAGTCCCAGCTACTCAGGAGACAAAAACAGAAGGATTGCCTGAACCCAGGAGGTTGAGGCTGTGGTGAGCCGTGATTGTGCCACTGTACTCCAGCTTGAGTGACAGAGTGAACTCTGATTCAAAAAACAAAAAATTGGCCGGGCTCAGTGGCTCAGCTTGTAATCCCAGTGCTTTGGGAGGCTGAGGTGAGTGGATTGCCTGAGCCCGCGGGTTCATGACCCACCTGGGCAACTTGCTAAAACCTCATCTCTACAATAAATCAAAAAAATTAGCCGGGTGTGGTAGCGCGTGCCTATAGTTTCAGCTACTTGAAAGGCTGAGGCGGAAGGATCGCTGGAGCCCAGCAGGTCGAGGCTGCAGTGGCTGTGAGCATGCCACTGCACTCCAGCCTGGGCGACAAAGTAAGAATGCTAGTGCTTGAAAATGACTCTGTATTTACCTTTCAGGAAGCCAGGTGTGGGAAGGACAGCCAGTGTATCCCCAGGAACCTGATGCTGGCTGCATCTTCGCTGATGGTAGCCCCTGCCCACCTGGCCCTCGGTCTCAGAGGAGAAGCTTTGTTTATGTCTGGAAGACCTGGGGTGAGGGACTCCCGTTTCCAGCCTGTCATCCACACTTGTTTACCTCTTCCTGCCAGATCACCTTTCTTTTTGGCCTCACCTTAATTTCTGTGATTTTCCTCTCATCTTCATTTCCCTCTTGGCCCCTTCCTCTTCCATGACACCTAGCCCCCTCAGCCTTCTCTGCCTTATTTCTTTCTGGCAGTCCTTCCCCAGTTGTAGGTCCATCCCACATAGTCCCCAATAGGATGCTTTCCCTGTCCCCCACTCAATTTAAATTCACAGGCTTCCCATACAGCCTCAGAAGTAATCAACCTCAATAGACCTCTTGGTTTCCCTTCTCTGGTCCCCTGTTTCTTTTTTTTTGAGTTGGAGTCTCACTCGGTCGCCCAGACTGGAGTGCAGTG